AAGGGAACATGAATCAAATATGTATCTTTATTCATTTACAATAAACTCATAAAGTACATCATTCTGATTGAAGCTAAGGGCATAAAAAACTGTCTAACATAATCAACATTGGCAAGCTCCATTTTATGCATATTGGCAATGACTGGAACAGCTACCAAAAGGAGGAAACTCCCAACTTTCAGAGCAGTTGTTGGACTCCCGTTGGGATTTGATGAGGTTGGTCTAAAAATTCCTTAGATGCAATAGAGTAAGAAATGAATGGCAATGCCAAGCGAAACCGGCATTCAATTGCAATTGTGGAATTGGATGAACTCAACTCTATAGCCCCAACTATGGTAACGCATAAGAATTCTTCCATCCTCATACAAAACCCAAAACCTAAATCTCATGAACCATCTTTTCTTTTATTTTAAATTCACTTACCTTCCTTTATTCTTTAAATTCAAAGAGATATAGTGATGGAAAGACAGAAGGAAGGTTTAATGTCTTAGAGATCAAGTTGGCGGCATCGCAAGAGCCGCCCTTGTTTACGTTGGAAAGCTTTGGAGAAACACCATCTCAAATCGATCTAAGAATCTAGGTTGTCTACCTCTCTCTACAAAACCCAACAAAAATTTCGAGATTGTGAAACCAGATAACAAAAAGAGAGATAAACAGAAATTTCAGCCCAAAACCCTTCACTACCTTCGGTGCCTTAAACCCTAATGCTAATTCTCATTCCTTCTTCTCCCCACCAAACTCTAACGTCAACCCTGGACCTAGCTAGAACTGCTTACTCTTCACCTCTTCTCCTTGAAACCCCAATTTTATCCAAATACCTCTCCCTCCCTTACAATTTCAGCAACTTCTGAGCCAACCCAGAACCTTGGCTAAAATCGTACACTAATTCTAAGCCTAAAGCAGAAGGTCATCGTTTGAAAAGAGAAGTTTTGAAAGAAGTTGAAAATTCCGACGAAGTCTTTCCGACTTCTATCCCTTGAAAACCGAGACGAGGTGAAAGAGTATGGACAGAAAGGGAAGGAGTCTGATAAATCAGAAATACATGAAGGGTATTTTAGGAATTAAAAAATTACTAGTCAAGTGATGTCACATTTGAATGGAGTGTGACAAAATTAACAGCAAGAAAGGTTTTAGATAATTGTTAGAAACAATAATGATAGTTTAAGACAATATATAAACAGTAAGAATAGAGTTAGTCAATTAACTAAACCATAAGGGTGGTTTAAGAAATTTTCCCTTTTACCAAGGACAAACAATTTCAAGAAACAGGAAACAGTTTTCCTCATGCCATGTGGCAAACTATAGCATGAGTCATTAAAGAGTTTGATAACTTTTGGTTGGTTTGTTTTCATTAGTCACAAACCACACATTGTACTCAAATCCAGTTCATGCACACGAGAGAACTATAGTTTCAGTCATACTATACCCAGGAAACTATTGGGATTTCACCTTTCTTAAAACTAGTTTCATTTGAGTCCCTAAAAAAGGAAATGAAGATTAAATAAAATAAAAAGAAAGAAAGAAATAATGAAACATTGGGAACTGGCACGTTCAATCATGAGTCGTGACAAGTGATATGCCAAACAAACGTACACCCGAGTGCCAAGTAGCAGAAAAGCATGTCAGTTACGGAATGTGGGTTGCAAAGTAGAACATCCTTGGGCTCAGTTTGGAAGCAATACAAATATAAATATATAGTGTAAATACATATAAAATACAAGGTTTTGTACTCTATAAATTTATATTTGCACTCTTTCCAAACTGAGCCTTACGGATTTGGGTGAAGGCGGGAATTTTCAGGTATCCACTACAACTAGCTAGAGACTTCACCAACAAATTAATTACAGATCCAAGTATGATTTTTTTTTTCTTTGGTAGTTAAACTGAGCAAATTTGATACGACATTTAGTGAGCTTTCCCTTAACGATCCTGGAATACCAGTATACCACAAAAACTAAGTGAGAGGTTAGTTTACATGATATGGTTACTACGGAATCTAAAGATTGAACACAGCAAAGTTTATCGAATTTGGGAGTCGGAATTTATCTTATTTCTCAAATTGAGAGATAAATGAATCAATATCTTGATGCACATAGATACAATAATCCAAAAGAAATTCTAGGAAATTGAGACGGTTCATTTCCAACCAAAAGGTGTATGCAATTACGGGGAAAGTGGATTCAGTCGATAAAGCATCAACAACCATCCCATGCTTTCTAACATTTAACACTAGTCATTCTACAAGAATACTAATAAATACATAAAACGCCGCTAGTAAATACTTTACGATAGGAAAATTGGCTCCCAGCATCCAAGACATAAAAGGCTACCATGCGATGTAGAACTTAACTCCCATATAAGGAGGCTGGAAGAGGATGGAATGATAAAAAATCAACAAAAACTAGAAAGCATAATCTCTATGAAAAGAATCCCTTTTTCTACATCTCTTCCTCTTCCTTCAAAACAATGGTGCCATCTAGTGGTGACTTGCATTGACTCTGTAACTCCATGAAACGATCAACATTAAAATTATGCTTCTTGAACAGCTTCCTCTGCCTTGTCAGGAAGAGCCTCTTCATGAGGTCTTGGTATGTGGGGTCTCTCGATGTAACCAGGAAGTAAGCATATCCAATGACCAGGCCAGTAGTAGTCGTGAAGAATGCAATGGGTTCCATGACATCCCAAGAAAATTCCCAGAATGTGAGCCGGAAGAAAAGCCCCACTTGAACAACAGCAACACCCAAGCCAGACCATAGGATTCGGCGCACTTGCTTGTGGGCCAGCATATCAATCTCTTCCTTCTTCTTCCGAAGCAACTTCAGCTCATTCCTCCTGGGATCATCATCAGGTGTCAAAGCAAGGGGTACTGCTTTTCTAACTAGGTCCACTACCTGAAAACCAATGGGGAAAAAAAGAACACAGTTAAAACTCAAATAAGAATGGACAATTGATAGATTGAATAGATTGATCAATATGAATGAAGTACCCAACGGAGAAAAGTTAACAAATTATCTTTTATTATGTCCTCGTGATAATCTAGCATATTAATAAATATTAGCGTCATGGATCACTCTCCTTTAGCTCTACTGCCATGACGAAACAGAAGATTCCCATGCAATTGTGTTTATACATGGTGTGACAATCCAACGTATTCCATCAATAGTCTAATTGAGAAGTTCCACTCAAACCGTTTTATGCTTCAGAAAACAGCTTCACTGTCCATCTAAGCACATTATGGATAAGTATCAATATGCAGCTCTTTTTCTATTATCGACACAAAACCACTGGAAACTATGATCCTAAGATGTTCTAAAACTAATGCGAAGTAATTTTTTTATCAATAACAGTAAAATTCATTAATTAATTAAGAATAAGAATACAGAGGAGGGGAGCTAAAATATCTTAACTCCACAAAAATGCCAACATACACCCAAAATAAAAGAAAGATTATAACTGAGCCAAAAAAAACAGAACTCCTATTCACCCCTTGCCTAGCTAAGTCATTCGCAAATGAATTTGCACTTATTTTTACCCATGTGCATCAAACTTCAATGTCCTTAGTCAGCCATTTAAATTTCCTCTTTTCATTGCTGTAGTTCCAAAGCCTAGAGTTGTTTTCTTTTAGCCAGCTCACTACAGTCTCAGAGTCTCCTTCTAGATCAGTTTGTTGATATTCAGATCTTTAGCCCTTTGTACCCCTTCCAGAGCTGCTAATATCTTGGTCCTCAAAGAATCTCCCACTTTGATTGGGACAAAGCATGGTTTTGAAAATGGAACCAGTTAGACAACCAGTTCCATTTCCTCCTAAAACCATTCCTTGGCCAAAAAAACGTTGATTTTGTCAGCGACCCACTGACCCAAGCGGTCGAACCATTGACACGGACAACGGTTTTTGGCCGCTTTTCATTTTAGTTTTATTTTTTAAGTTTTTAATCAGAACCATCCGTTGGTTCAAACCAAAGGTCGGACTGTTTGACCCAGAAACCAGTAGCCAAAACAGTTTCATGTCCAGTCTGATTTTTAAAACCTTGGGCTAGAGAACATGGCTATCACATTCCCTTTTTCATCCCTTATAACTCCCCCTATTCCAAAGGATCCTGGATTGCCTATGCTGCTGCCATCAAAGTTCAGTATGATAAAACCAAGAGGTGGAGGAATTCAGTAGGAACTTGAAACCTTCCTAACTGAAGCTGAAATTGCAATTTCCTTCTATTTTCTTAGCAAATCATCCACTGAGAATTCTGCAAACATATCAGTGTTTTCAACCAATGTATTATCCTTATACGAGTCACCACTAAGTAACACTGCTTCCAAACTTCTCTCCTTTTCCTAAGAAAATCCTTGAGTTTCTTTCTTCCCAAATAGTCCAACATACAGCATCTCTAACACATCTCCATATAATCTTTTCCCTTTTTGTTGGCTAGTTGGAGGTAGAGGAATACAAGCTTTGCACATTCGTTGGGGAAGTCCACCTACACCCAAACAAAGGAATGAACCATTCCCAAATAGAGTTTGCAAATTGACAGTAAATTAGCAAGTAACAACCAGACTCACCAACAGCTTTACAAAGGGCACACTAGTGAGGAGACAAACATCTATTGGGCCTTTTTCTTTGAAGCAAATCTCATGTGTTAACTCTTTCCAGAAAGGTTTCCCAACAAAAACTCCCATCCTTTGGAGGGATGGGTTGACACCACACCTCTTTAACAGGGAATGATAGACCAAGAGGAACATTAGGTTGTATTGGGGTTTTAAAGAAAGAAGCACAAGTAAAGAAACTCGAAGGAGAGAGGGTCCAAATTCTACTGTCTATCTTTGTTGGCTCCAAGAAAATCCCATCAATAATGGATAATAAAGTCAAGGTATTGTCTAATTCTAAGTCACTGATATCTCTTCTCAAACCCAAGTTCCAATCAAATCCAAGGGTCAAGTTAGAGGGCATAAGGAAAGTGGATACCGGTTCATTCTTAAAGGATAATCCCCAATCCAAACATGTTTCCAAAATTTAATGAGATTGCATGAGTACAAATCATACCTAATCAAGGGAGAAAACAAAGGCAAAATAGCTTAGATAGCTTTGCAGGGTGATGCCCTTGTAGTCCTAGCCAGAATCCTAGAATCCAATCCATTCTCTGCAAGCCCATGAATACTACCCACTATCTTCACCCACAGCTTTTCTTTTACCAATGAAAATCTCCACAACCATTTCCCTAATAGAGCCAAATTTCTCTTATGTTCCCAATGCCAACGCCTCCATCTTTCTTACTCTTGAACACCACCTTCCACCCAACCCCATGGTCCTTTTTCTCCTCCCCTAGCTCCCAAAGGAACTCTCTCATTAGTTTTTCTAGCTTACTAGCCACCCCTACCAGAATCTTAAAAAACGCCAAATAATAAATAGATAGATTTGCTAAAGGCAAACCTAATAGAATCACCCAAACGTCCTCCTAGAACCGAATAGAATCACTAGAGCAAGCATCATACTTGATAAACCTAAGTAAGCGAGGGAGAATACCATGTATAGACTTCCAAGGTGTTGTGAGAGCAGCTCGACGAGATATCCTAGCATCCCAACCATTTTCTGAGCAGCCATGAATACTTGACACCACCTCATGCCATAATCTCTCTCTCTCCCAAGGCCATCTCCATAACCACTTCCCTAGGAGGGCTTCATTCTTCTACACTATGTTCCCTATCCCTAGGCCCCCTTCTTCCTTAGGTTTATTGACTATCTCCCATCTAACTAGATGGTCCTTTTTCACCTCTCCGGGTTCCCACAGAAAATCCCTCATTACCTTTTCTAGTTTCTTAGCCTCCCTTGGGGGAATCCTAAATACTAAAAGGAAGTACGTTGGAAGGTTGGCAAGTATGGCCCTAATCAAAGTCACCCTACCCCCTATTGAGATGTAATTCTTTTTCCAGGCCGCCAAGCATTTATCGAATTTCTCCACAATGGAGGCCCAGAAACTACTTTCTTTAGGGTTGGCTCCTAAGGGAAGACCTAAGTAGGTCAAAGGCCAAGAGGAAATGGCACAACCTAAACACACTGCAATGGATTCTACCTCCTAATCCTCCATGTTTACTCCAGCCACGCAACTTTTATCAAAGTTTATCCTCAAGTTGGAGGCAAGCTCAAAAGCTTTTATTAAATTCTTAAGGTTATTCACCTTGCTTAAATCATTCCCTTCACAGAAAATAACAATATCATCAACAACTAAAGGTGAGTTACTAAAATGCCTCTCCTCCCTATTCTCCAACCCTTTATTAGGTCCTCATCTACATTGGAGATCAATCTTCTGAGTACATCAGCAACAAGTGTAAAGAGGAAAGGAAAAAGTGGGTCACCTTGTCTTAGGCCTCTATTGGTTGGAAAGAAATACTTAACCACTCCATTAACCAAGACAAAGTAATGACGAGAATTTAAGCATCCACTTGTCCAATTACACCATTTGTTCCCAAAACCACACCTTCTTAACACCTCCAACAAGAAACTCTAGTCCACTAAATCATAAGCCTTTTCCAAGTCCAATTTGCAAACAAAGCCTTTTCTACTAGATTTCCTCATCTCCTCTACACTCCCATTTGCAATGAGGATCTGATCTATAATTTGTCTATCATATACAAAGGCTCCTTGTGCTTGGCTAATGAGAGAAGGAAGAACTGCTTTTATCCTCCTAGAGAGCACTTTTGCGAAAATCTTATAAATGCTAGTCACCAAGCTGATTGGCCTAAAATCTTTGGGGTGTTTAGCATTAGTCCTTTTAGGAACTAGAGCTAGAAAAGTGGCATTGATTCCAAGACTCACAATATGTTTATCCTCAAATTCTCTAATGGCTCCAATTAAATCTTCTTTGATTATGCCCTAGCAGTCCTAATAAAATGTCATTGTAAACCCATTTGGACCTGGTACCTTAGCTCTATCCAAAGAAAAGACAGCTTTTTAATCTCCTCTTCCTTAATCATTCTTTCTAACCAACCCCTGTCTAACTCATTCAAAGTTGGCCAGTCCTCCTCCACTCTTACCCAATTCTCCAAAGGTCTCTAGAAGATTGATTTGAAATGAGCCACAAACCTACTAGCAATCTCCTCCTGACAGGTTATATCAACTCCATCAACCTCAAGGGTATCCATTCCAATATGAGCACCTACCTATGTTTAACCTATGGAAGAATAGACCATGAAGAAATAAATTGTGGCCAATGTTTTAAAACATGGAGGTGTGACATGAGGCATTCCACTACCTAGAGGCATGAAGTATAGTTTAGAATGTAAGAGGCATAAGCCTCCTTAAGAGAAGGTGGATGAAGAGTGTTCTCTCTCCTTGTTTAGAAAAGAACTTGTTTCTAACTTTGTTTCCCTCTCCGGCATTAACTGGGTTAAGCTGGAACTTTGGTTTTAGAAGAAATTTAAGGGACCTTGAATCAGAAAAGGCAACCTCATTGTTACAAGGTTTTTACTCTATTTTCATGGATTTTTCTAAGTCTGATGCATAGTTTCAAGGCGACGCCTAGACGCTTAGGGGGTTTTTCATGGTCGCCTCACCCAAACGCCACAAGTTTTTCATATTAGGCACCTGCCCAAAGACTTAAGCGGGCACCTAGGTGCCTACATTCATCTAAAAAACTATTTTTTTAATTTATTGTTTTGATATTTTTTTAAATTTATTGTTTTGATATTTTGTTGGATGTTTTATTCTTTTAAAATAAATCTGGTTACATGATATCATTTTAGTATTAAGACCAAGTATACAGCCTTTTTTTTCTTTATGTCAAGGGTTTTTTTGGTTCAATTGGAGAGGGAGGAGAACTGAAGACTTCAAGCCCCAGCCCAACAACATCACACCTCAGCTTCAGTAGGTTAGTTCTTTCTCTTTTCCAGATTTCAGTTGAAT